GTAGTTTAATTATAAGTTTTTTATTGTTACAGTTGTTAATTCAAATGTTAATTTTTTTGCCATATTGTTACTGAGGTAAATCATTTTTTTATTTTCTTTGTTCATCCATTTAGCTTGTTTTTTTCTAAAAGGATACTTTTTAAGTGGAATCAAGTTGTTAAATATTTATTATAAACAATTATTACTGCTATTTATAACTATTTGGCTTGTCATCAAACTAAGTTTCGCAAAATCAAATTTATTAAAAGATTGTTTGACAAAAGGTTCAATTTTTGTACTAATTGCTACTTTAAGAGTTGCTTCCACTGGGAAATGATCACTGATGGCCAATGATCCACGCAGTAGCTCGTACACAGCATTTCTACGGGTATAACAAAAGTTGCGGAAGTTGCAGTGATTCTCGTTGGGGCAGTTAATCTGATTGAGGCATTCGCAAGTGATAAGGTAGTATGTAACGACTTTGCAGAATAAGATGTTGGTGTCATCCCGTCAGCATTTAAGTCACCAAGTATGCAGATTGGTCCGTTGAGCTAATTTCAGCAATGATTTGGTTAAACTTCAGAAACCAGTCTGCTGGTGGATTTGGCGGTCGATTTACACCTATAACAACTATGGTCGATATACTTCTATAACAACTATGGATCGTTTAGGTTTTTTTAATTGAATCAAATTTACCGTTGCTTTAATTCCCTGGTCATTAGTCTTTGTTTGAAACAAAGATAAAACTTTTGTGTGAACCTTCACCTTACCATCTGAAGAATTTCTATCATGTCTGCTTATAAAGTAACCATCAAGTGCGAGAGTTCCATAGGTGACTGTTTCATCCAACTTTGTTTCCAGCAGACTTAGTATGTCCATTTTGCAGATGAATTCTTTTGATAGCAGTAATTTACTTCTTAATCCATTACTGTTCCATTCGCCAGTCACAATGAATTGTTAACTTTAATTGAGGGTAATGGTTTGTCTTTAACTGTGTAACCAGCAACCATTATTGAGTTTGGGAAATATGAGGAAGATGAGTCTGATTGTTATTGGTATTTAAGCAGCATAATGAAATAGGTGGTATCACTGAATTTGCTTTCGATTATTTTGATTTAACTTTCATACCTTGTAGGTTGTATAAATTGAATACATTCTTGATAATTTTATTATGTACTAGAGGAATTGGTATCTTGTTAGGGTTTAGGTAAAGATTTGGTTTGGTAGGAAAAATTGTTGGATAGTTAGGATGTGGAGGTGAATATGTTGGGTCGAAAATATGCATTTTGTGGCGTGGGACAATTTGGGGGCCATCCATAAAGGACGTCACCATTTTTTAGCGAATTTTTGACGTTAAATACCAGTTATTTAGTACATTAGTTAGTACAATGCTACTTTTGAGGTTAGTGATAATAGGCGGCGCGGCCCCGCAGGATACTAATAGGCGACGGCATAATTGACTAATGCTGGCCTACTAATAACCGGCTTCAATTCCGGCCTAATTTGGATAAATATATATATATATATATATATATATATATATATATATATATATATATATATATATATATATATATATATATATAATATTTATTTGACAGACTGCCTGCCCAAACCAAACCCTCAATCGATGAAGGAGCACTTCGTTGCGAGTCAGGCTACTTGTAGCAATGTAGCAACGCTCCGCGCATGTTTTACAGCGAAGAAATTAAAAAAAAAAAACACATTCAGACATCTACACCTTTTCAAGATGTAATTGAGAAAACAAAAATTGTAATTAAGAATCGTAAGATGTAATTGAGAAAACAAAAGTGGTAATTAAGAAACGTAAGATGTAATTGAGAAAACGTAAGTTGTAATTAAGAAACATAAGATGTAATTTAGAAAACGAAAATTGTAATTAAGAATCGTAACATGTAATTGAGAAAATGTAAGTTGTAATTAAGAAATAGAAAGATGTAATTGAGAACACGAAAATTTTAATTTAGATATCGCTTTAAAGGAGTAAGTTTAAAATGGCGCTTAAAAAAAATGGCGCGTATAAAATGACGCACTTAAAAATGACGCAAGATTTGTAGCGTAAATTTAATTTTTTAGGGAAAAATTTAGGGAAATATTTATAATTTTTGGGCAAATGAATTTAACATAATAAACACTAAAAACATTTTAGAGAAAAATTTATAATTCAATTAAAAATTATAATTAAAAATTATATAATTAAAAATCACTTCATTGATCATTTAAGCACCAACTTGTACGTCTTCCATATTTAAAATAGTTGCATAGTGCGTGGTTGTGTGTTGTACCGCACGTGCACAATCTCCTCCCATTATAGTATTTTTCGCCTCAATTACAATTCGTTCTAAGTACTGCATGCGCTGAAACATAGCCAAAATCCACTCGTTACAGGAATCTGCTTTAAATGATCCCCTGCGAGTTTCTATCATGACGACATTTGTAGTTGAAATAGCTGCGATCAAGTGTATGTTTAAACCTTTTGAAGCAGGTAATTTCATAATTGCTCTTTTTCCTTGTCTCGCGCGTCCTTGCGTTTTTCTACAAAAAAGGTTAAAATTTGTTTCATCCAACCAAACTATCTGACGACCATTTGTGATATGTTCGTTGATGTTTCTAACATATTCAGCTCTTTTTTGTTTGTTTTCATAACTGTTCATTGTAGAAGGCTCCTTGTGCACTTTTTTTAATGAGAACAATCTGCCTTCGAGGTAATTTGCTATTGTTGTTGTGCTAACGTTTATGTTAAATTGTCTTAACATCTTTGTTTTGATGGCCACCAATGTTAATTGACAATCATTTTCAACCCATGTTAATGTTTCTTCGATTTGATCTTCGGTCAACTTTTTCGGATTAAAACCTCCTTTTTCGATGAAATTTGAATTTCCGCTGCAAACCCAATTGTATGCTGTCTTATATTTGATACCTAGCGTTTGCGCGAGATTCACCCAATCTTCAAATCGCTCCGCACATTCAACAACTCTTCTCCTGTCATTTGGAGAAGATAAAACGTAACGTTTCCTTTCAACTTGTTCAGTTGTGTGTATTTCATGCCGACAAATCGGAAAACTTGAATCTGGTTGTTTCAGAACTGGACGTAAACAAATTTGGTGACATAAATGTTGACACGGATTTAGCTTAATCACAGACTTTCGGGTCATAGTGTATTGGCATATAACACAACGATCTTTCAATTCCATTATTATTACTTGTGCATACAAAAGCAAAATTTAAGATTATAACTTAAATTCATGTCCAAAAAGACCTTTTGTAACAACCTACAAACTTAGACTGTGAATTTGCTATTTTAATTTATGTGTTCTCAATTACAAGTTACGATTTCTCAATTACATATTATGATTTCTCAATTATATCTTACGTTTTCTCAATTACATGTTGTGTTTCTTAATTACATGTTACGACTTCTTATTTACATGTTGTGTTTCTCAATTACATATAACGTTTTCTCAATTACATGTTGTGTTTCTTAATTACATATTACGACTTCTTAATTACAAGCAAAAGCAAGCAAGCAAGCAAGCAAGCAAGCAAAAAGCAATATATTTACCAAGAATATAGATGTTTTACAATAAGCATGTTATAAAATACAAATAAAAAAAAATATATGTATAGCCTATATTCTGGATGGTTCACTCTCATATAGCCTGGCTAAATCGAGGAGAGCGACCACGAGCAAAACAAAAACGAAAGAAAAACAAAACATAAAAGAAAACAAAAAAAAACAAAAAAACAAACAAACAAGCTAGCTAATACATTCACATAAGGTTGCTATTATTTAACATTCATATTTATATCATATCTCCTATAACTTCTATTGCCATAAATCTTTTATCACCAACAATTCATTTATTGTTTTAAATTATCTTGATTTATCAGGTAGTATTTTAATTTATTTTTGAGAGTATATTTTTTAATATTGCAAAAAGGGATTGTTTTTAATTTATTTTGAAGTTGATTCCAGTTCATTATTGCAGAGTATTTAAAGGATTGTTTACCATAGGATTTTGTATTATATGTTTGCACACTTAGTGCACCGCTACAAGAATTTCTTGTAAATCGGCTGCTAATTGCACTGCGTTGAGTAAACCATTCATCAAATATAGGAGGCAGTTTTTTATTAAGGCAGCTGTGAATAAATAAGCAATTTTCAATTTTAATTAAATCATGTACTTTTAAGATATGTAATGTGTTAAAAGATGTGGATGTATGTGAATTTTTTGGAAGAAATTGAATAATTCTGACTGCTTTTTTCTGCATGATAAATAGGCGATTAATAATACTCATATTTTGACTCCATGATAAATGGCAATATGTGAGGTGAGAGTGAAATAAAGCATAGTAAATAGATTTTAAAGTTTTTTACAACTTTCATGTTCTCATTTACATCTTGAAAAGGTGTAGTTCTAATTGTTTTGTGATTTAATTATAATTAAACCACAAAAACGCATTATTTTAATTCCAGGAAGTATACTTCCTGGAATTAAAATAATGCGTTTTGACATAACGTAGCCGGCGAGCCGTGACTCGCCGCCTTTTAAACTGTTTTTGATGTTTTATAACTTATTATGCTACAGGATGTTTATGTTTATAGGAACTTATTATGTTACAGGATAATTATGTTTATAGGAGTTTTAGTCATTTATTTTCTTAATAATAGTTAAATAAATCAATAGTTCAATAAAAAACATTATTTAAAAGAATTTTATTTATCACACGCTTACAAACGCGCAAAACTACTTTAGATGAATATGAAATCTCAATTCAGTATCATACTGATTCAGTGATAATATAATAAATGCACTATACACTCGTTTTTATTAAATACATGTTTTTTAATGAAAAAATATAATTTAAGAAACTTTTAAACATAAAAATTGCAATTGTTGTGCAGCTGATATCGTATAATATCTGATTTTGGTAGCATTTTGAAACAAATTTTAGTTGAATAAAAAATTTCAATTTAGTTAAGTTTGTATAATGTACTAGACACTTATCTTTATTAAATACAATTTTTTTTAGTTGAAAAATGAAATTTTAGAAATTTTCAAACATGAATATTTTTATTATTGCATTGTTGATAACTGTTGCAAATGCAAAATTTTCAGACTGGCTTATCACAGATATTGATATTAAAACAACATTAGTGAATGGTATTGATGGAACTTTGGTTCTTAGCAATGGCTTAATTACAAGAACCTTTATGACAAGTCCAGGATTTACTACTGTTGAATATTATTCCCATGAAAAAAAATCATCTATTTTGCGTGCCCTAAATCCTGAAGCCATAATTGGGCTAGATGGCAAAGTTTACGCAGTTGGTGAAGTAAAAACTGATATACCTAGAGGTTATTTAAATCGCACAGCTTTGAAAGAGAATTTACATGCTTCGCCTGAAAGTTTTCAATATGTTGGATACAAGATATCTGATCCTGTTGCGCCATATCATTATACTCCAATGCGCGGTGCTCCAAAAAACATCTCATGGCCACCAAAAGGGTTAAGACTTGATGTTTTCTTTCGTGCTCCAGTATTTACACCTTATTATCACCAATTTGTATCAGTTTGTGTTCATTATGAAATGTATGATGGGATACCTTTAATGTCTAAATGGGTATCAGTATATGGAGAACCAGTTGCCCAAGAAAATGTTAAAGTTTCTATTTATTCAGTTGAAGTACTTTCTGTTAATCAACAATGGACTCAGGAGTCGTTCTGGGATGGGCCTTATAATGCATATAGTTGGTTTTACATTGAAACTGATCAAACACATGGTACAAATATTCAATGGACTATTGACCCACACGAAGATGAACTTCCTGGATCTTTTGAGCCTATGTTTAATGCTACTTATGATGTTTCTATTACTAAGTCTGTTCCTTGTGTTATGCTTACTGCAGATGGTTTTCGATCTTTTCATGTTCATGAATTGGCCATTGGATCAAGTGATGAAACAAGAAAAGCATTATCAAGACATAGAATGTTTAGACTTTTAGCTCCTCAAGCACAAGAAAATCCGATCTTTTTTCACTTGACTCAAACAGATGATCAATCATTCAAGAATGCTGTTGATCAATTAGCTGAAGTTGGATTTGAAATGATCATTTACAGTTTTTGGTCTGGATTTAATTTCGAATCAAAAAATGAATCTTACATTCAAATGATTAAAAAACAAGTTGAATATGCAAACAGTAAAGGAATTGAGGTAGTTTTATTTTAAGTATAAATGTTTTATTTTGTGTTTTCTTTAATTTTTTGCGTGTTTTTTTTACTATTACTATATAATTTACCTGTTCATGCATTCATGTATTTTTTTGTTTTTTAATATATGTTATATTAAAGGATTAAACTGTTTTTTCCTTATTGCATATTTCTATTTCATATATTTTTGACTATACTCTGTCCACCTCCTTAGGTTAAAATTTGTTAAATGTCTTTCTTTTTAATTTCAAAACTTAATTTTACTAAAAGGTTTAAACTTAATAAACAGCCTTTTTTGTTATGTAATTCTTTTTGAATTGTTTGCATCTTTTTATCTAGTGGTTTTTTTTTCTTTTTTTCAATTTTGTGCATGATTTTTTTTTGTCTTTTTAATAAATTGGGATTTTTAAGTTTATTTTTAACTAAATAATATATAAAATCATTTTTAATTTTGATTTTGTTTTTAATGTTTAAATGAGTAACAAAAGAAAGTGTTTATTTACAGATAAATAATAAAAAATTTATAAGCAATTCAAACCAACAAAGAATTTAGAAGAATTCTGTGTAGTCTGTAATATAACCATCAATATTGGGAAAACATCTCAGTTATATTGAGATATCATTTAATGAAGGGGAAATATTTCAATTGTTTTGCAAGTTACCAATGCAATTAACTTTTTAAAGGATAAAAATATTTACATTGACTCAGAAAAATGTCTTAATCAGTTTGGTAATTTGCAATAGATATTAACCATCTGTTAAAAGCTGATATTTTAAGACAATTAAAGTACCAGATACATATTCAAAAATTAAAAGTATGAATGAATTAGTATATTGTTTGACTCTATCACGGAGTCCATATACTAAGAATGAATAAAAGTAAATGTGACCACATCTTCTCTAAAATCTTCTATTATCCTCTAATAAGTTAAAAATGTGGTTAAATCTCCTGTTTAACTCCACTTTTTTATTTTCAGATTCACTAACTTTATTTGTAAACTTATAGTGTAGTATATCATTTTTTTTTTTTTTTTTTTTTTTTTGAGTAATTGGAGCTTGGGAAAAAAGAGTTTTTAAAAATATTGAAGCTGAAGAACAACATTGGGTTAGCTTAAGAAAGTATTAGAAAAAGTTAATACTCAATAGTGAAAATTACAGTTTGTTTTATCTCTCCTTGTTCCATGAAATTTACAAAGCTCCTGTCTCCATTTTAAAAATCTATATTGACCATTTTTACTAAATTACAGGCCTTGTTTTAAATAGAAAATGCTTAACGCAATAGCCTAATGTAAATTTGACATCATAAAGTTCTTTTTATTTTTTTATTTTTTAAAGACATTAACTTTTTTAAGTTACTGCAATAATATAATTATCAATAAACGGATTAAATGTTATTTAACTTCTTTTTCAACATTACTGCAAGGGAATATTTATTTATTTTTTATATTAAATGATTAAATTTAATATTAAATTTTTTAAAATGTTTGATGTTAAAAAAAAAAATTTTCTTTTCTTGACATTTGCATAAATGAATTAAAATATGTTGAATTTTTAAATGATTATTTCTTTAATTTCTAATTGCGGCTTTGCAACTGCAAATAATTTTTTATTAAAAGAATATTAGATAGATAACAAATAAAAAAATATGTTACTTTATTTACTTTATTTATTGAAAGTTTATTATTTTATTAACGATTTTGTTGTAAAAACAAAGATAACTTTTTCAAAATTATTTATTAAAATTATATATATATATATATATATATATATATATATATATATATATATATATATATATATATATATATATATATATATATATATTTATATATATATATTTATATATACATATATATATATATATATATATATATATATATATATATATATATATATATATACATATATATACATATATATATATATATATATATATATATATATATATATATATATATATATATATATATATATATATATATATATATATATATATATATATATA